GTGCCATCGAGTCGGAAGCGACTCATAGCGACCCTGTACAGGGTTTCCAAGGCTGTAAATCTTTACGGGAGCAGAAAGCCTCATCTTTCTCCCACAGAACAGCGGGTAGTTTGGAACTGCTGACCTTGAGGTTAGCAGCACCATTCTTCCTGCACATCACAGAGGCAGACCTGAGGAGCTCCTACTCGGCAGAGCACCAGCTCATGAGGACAAGCTCAGTGCCCAGACCTGCGCCTACCGCCAGCCCCTCCAGTCATGCCTCTGGCAGCACACTGGTGACACACACAGGCCTCACAGAGAGGAGACTGTGGGGACACACTGGGTCCCGCCCAGGGCCGCAGGCTGGCAGTCATCTCCTGAGGCCCGCAGCTCCCCTGAGGAATGCAGGAGTAGGTTCGTGCACAGGCCAAGGGACCACATGGGCCCCACTGCTCCCGTTGGAGGATGGGCTCCACTAGGGGCGGTGGAAGGAACAGCATGGACGGAGGCTCAACCGAATGACATGCACACGGCACAGAGAGTCCAGGGCATCGAGAAGGCCTGCGGTACTGCCCCTCCAGGCCACCGCGGAGGAGAGGACTTATGTTCTGGACGGACGGACAGTCTGAAAAGGGGACGCGCCACCACTAAGATCCCACCCTGACTTAGCACTCCTCAGCCGGCAGGAACACACCACTTGGCACTGAATACAGTGAGTTCTGCAAATACGGCAGGAAGGAAACCAGGCCCCACAGAGCTGGCAACCAGACCTGCGTGTCCATGTGGACACCCACCTCACAGATGAAGAACTAGAGCTCGGCTCAGCTCAGCTCCCCACCTCACACACCGCGGAGTGCCACACAGGCATCCGGAGCTTCGCCGACCTGGCCCAGACCCTAGTGGAGGGTGCTGCCCGGAGGTCCACTGCAGTAAGTAGCGTGCACACGGGCCATGTCCCCCAGGAGTGCCGAGTGTGCAGTCATACCTGTGTGCGGTTCTGCATAGGACATGAAGTGGGAGGAGAACCTGCTCTCAGCAAACTCCACCTGCACCCAGACACCTGCTTCCATAGCACGGTGCTCACCCACTCAGGTCCCGACATCGGCAGACCAAATGCGTCTCACATCCTGGCCCGGGGTAGGGGCTCAGGCTAAACTGACCATGTCACCTCATTTAAGATGTTATTCTAAAGCAAAACCCATCCTTAATCAACATCACAATTGGAAATCTAGTTACCTAATCCAAGTGAGCCAATTTTGTCGCTGACCAATTTCAGGTCTTTCAAAACTGTGTTTCCCCTTTGACCTGTGAACAGAAAGTAAGAGTATTCAGTGGGTACTTGCAACATGGGGTCTTTCTACGCAAGCATGAGGCGTCTATCACATGACAGAAAACACAGTGACTAAAACTAAGGAAGGCCACAAATGAACAAAGCACTGCTTAACTTAACGTGAGACGGACACTAAGGACTGACAGGGACCCACGGGATTGAGAAGCACTGCCCCATGGGTTCCAGCACTGCAGACTGCTGCAGCCTTCTCTCATGGAGCGGCGGGTGGGTTCGAACCACCGATCATTCCATCAGCAGCTGAGCCTTTAATGATTGCACCACCAGAGCGCCTCTAACTCATGCACCCCAATTGTTGGACCACAAGCAAAACCCCTCTTTCTTGGAACACAAACATCAAAATCCTTCTTACCCAACAAGGAGACACCATGTTCTACAAGAACCCCAAAAGGATGAGTTCAGAGAATAATAGTTCTCACCCACTTTTCTTTTCCTTTGGAAGTCTGAATTTTGTTTCAATTGAACCATATTTGGTAACTGCTCCCCTCACCCAGTGTGTTCCCTACACAGGGTTAGGGTGACCCTGACGGGAAGCCAGGGTTCTGCCTGTGGGGGTGGAGCAACCACAAAAAAGCTACGAGCAGGTCAGCAGACACACGGCTGGTTTCCTGTCCCATCAGTTCAAGGTGCCCCACAAACTCTTGGAATGGCATCCTGTAGCCCCAAAGAGGCTAAAAATCGCAGCAGAATTATGCCAAATGCCAAGTCAAGATTTCCTATTGGAGGAGACTGTCTGGGAACAGACACTGCTCATTAAACCCTGGGTGGCTCTCATGCCCCATGATTGCACGCCACACACATGCATGCAGGGGCGAAGCCAGGCTGTGTAACTCTGTGCCGTCCAGGGCATCATCTCTACAGAAATGTGTGTCCGACCCAAATCCCTGAACAGCACGCTGAGAGGGCTAACCAAAGCTGATGGGAAATCAGCAAGAAAGGACAATGGACCTGCTCCCGGAGATTTCTGAAACCCCCAGCATATTACCGGTCCCACAAGGACTCCTGAAGTCACAGATCCTCTGAGTCAAACTTAAGACAATGAGCAGAACTTAAAGACCACTTAGGCTACCTTAGTGTCCAACAGATGGTTTGAAAATCACAACATAGCGAGAGAGATCAATGAAAAAGGATTTAAACAGCACTGAAGACAGAATGCAAGATGGTAAACACACACTATGACCACAACTTTTTTTTAAAAGGAAATTTAAAAATACAGAAATACAATATGCAGGTGCTTCAAAAAGTTGGTGGGAAATGGAATGAAAAGAGAATGGAATTTCCCACGATGTTTTGAAGCCCCCCTAGTATTAAGAGGTGCTCTTTCTCTCAAGGTAAAATCACGGTCCTGGGCCAATGGACAAAAGGGTCCCACCTGAGGGGCTGCCAGGCACTTACTGTCCGAGTCTTTTAAGGACGGGGCTCCCACCAGGGAGCTGAGCCCACTCTTCAAAGGCGGTGCATCCGAGAGTGAGGACAGGCTCCCTGCCGGCTTGCTGGGTTCACTTCTCCTAACAGAAAAGAGCACAGTTAACGTGATGTCGCTTCTGTGTGCCCCCCTCAGTCCCTTTATCAACACTACGATTCTGTGATGCTACTGTGAACAGATCTGACTTCTGAATTTCATGTACGGGTTCCTCACATTCCGGACAGTCATCTTGAGCCCGGCAACCTTGGTTTTTTTAAATCACCCCAGAAGAATTTTGGGCATATTTTGGTATTCCTTAGGCTTTTCTACCTTCAGCAGGATGTCATCTATAAATAAAGACAGTGCTTCATGTTCTGTGATCTGGGGTAGACTGCCTCGCTGGAACTGTGCCCTAGTGATCAGAGCGGTGGGGTGGGGGCATCCTTTTCTTCTGATTTAGGCGGTCTGTTGTCCCCCTCAACGCAGACATCAGCAGACACCTCTACCAGATTTGGAAACATCCTCTATCCCTCGCTAACATCTTATCACGGATGGGTGCTGGATGATGTCAAATGATTTTCTGTGCCAATCCCAGCAACCCTGGTACTTCTGTCCTCTACCTTAATCGTGGTGCGTCATCTTTCTGCATGCTCTGACCGCCCCTTTCCCCAGCCACAGGCACCATGCTCAGTGCTCTCTCTGATGGGAACTTTTCCTTCTCGCTCGCCATTACCATTCCTGACATAATTGGCAGCCAGGCCTTCACTTCAAATACTGTGGTGTTGTTGTTGTCAGGTGCCATCGAGTCGGAAGCGACTCATAGCGACCCCATGCACAGCAGAATGAAACAATGTCCGATCCTGGGCCAACCTCACTACCGCTGCCACACTTGACGCCATCAATGATGTCACCTGGCTGATCCATCTCGTTGGAGGTCTTCCTCTTTTTCTCTGACCCTCCATCTTACCAAGCATGACATCCTTCTCCAGCGACTGTTCCCTCTGGACAATATGTCCAAAGTATGAGAGACGAAGTTTGGCCATCCTAGCCTCCAAGGAGTACTCTGGCTGCTTGCTTCCAAAACAGATCTATTGGTTCTTTTGGCAGTCCATGACACTTTCAGTATTCTCCTTCAACACCACAATTCAAAGGCATCAATTCTTCTACGATCTTCCTTATTCAATGTCCAGCTTTCGCATCCATATGAGGTTATTGAAAACACAACGGCCTGGGTCAGGCGCACCTTAGTCCTCAAGCTGACATCTCTGCTCTTCAATACTTTAAAAAGTTCCTGTGCAGCAGATTTGCCCAGTGCAATACGTCGTCTGATCTCTTGACTGCTGCTTCCGCGAGTGTTGATAGTTGATCCAAGAAGAATGAAGTCTTTGACAACCTCAATCTCTTCTCCATTGATAAGAATGCTGTTTATTGGTCCAGTGGTGAGGATTTTTGTTTTCTTTACATTGAGTTGTAATCCATATGTAAGGCTGTGCTCTTTGATCTTCATCAGTAAATATTTTAAGCCCTCTTCACTTTCAGCAAGCATACTGTGGTGTGGGACTAGTAATTTCTTCTTCCAGCATCAGCTCTGGCAGCTTGGCTTTCTGGGAAGCGCTGCATTTCATCGCAATGATCCATCGAGCAGAAATAAGCATGCTTATCGTGAGCGTTCAACTTTCTGAGAAATCAGCAGTGCCATCCTTTCCTTCACTCTCGGTTTTCCCCGTCTGCGTGTCTTCTCTGAGCGTCTATATGTGTTTCAATCCTACCTGGGAGCCCTCACTGACTTTCTCTACTGTTTCTGTCAGTGGTATCTGCCCTACTCTTTGATCAGTTCCCTCTGTCTGCTCCCCACCGAGTTTCCCTTCCTCGTTTGGTTTGTAGGGGTAGATGCTCAGGTTATTTAAGACCTTCCTTCCTTCCCCTCCACCGGTAGCTTTAACTGCACAGTTTGTTTTCATTCTGAATCAGCTGAAAGTACTTTCTACTAACCCTATGCTTTCTCCTCGGGCCCACTGGTTACTGACGAGTGGCCCATTTACCTTGCAAATAGCAGTGAGTTGTCCGGTCTCTCTCTGCTGCTGTTTCTAACTCCATCCCACTGAGCTCCCAGACCCGGTCCACCCCGGAACAAGGGCCTCGCGTTCACATGAACAGACTGCACATTTGGCTATTGGCTCAAACCTGAGCTTGTGAAGAAAGCCATTTTACAGCCTCAAAGACCATCTGAACCATTCCCTGGAGTTGCATGCCACGTGCTTCTTCCCATGGCTGAGTCCCTCTGAGCCTTGTCAGCAACCATCAACCAACACCCAGGGACCCTCTGCCTTCTCCTCTGACATCTGGCCTGAGGACTGTGTCCTCGGCAGACTCTCTTCTACACCCCACGCTCCACCACACCTCACCCCATAAGACTGTGTGTCTGCAGAGCTCTGTCTGCTCAGGACGCTCCCCAGCCCTCGTCCCTCAACTGCTCAGAGCATGGCCCCCCATTCCTGCCTCTCGTCTGCCATGTCGACTGTCTTCACCAACAGCATCAGTCCTCATCACCTCCTCTCCACTTGGGGGCCCTGCAGCCCTGCACCCCCCACCCAGGCGGCACCATCCTGTCTCCAGCCTAGAAGCTTCTCTGCTGGCCTCATGTCTGTCAGAATTAACTCTGTACTCCTGCCCAGGAACTCCCTCTGGTCAGCAGAACCAAGCACGATGTGGCCTGAGGTGGTCACCCGCACTGCACAGAAGCCCCTCCATCTCCTCCTTCCCAATGACTCAGCTTCGGCACCCCCACCTGCCCACAGCCTCCCACTCCTCTCTGCAGCCCTCAGTGCAGCCAACGGCTCTCCCACCTTCGTCTTATTCAACTGAAAGCCCGCAGGAGCCCTGACATCAATGCTGTCTCTAACCCCGACTCCGGATATACCCAGAAACCTCCCATTTCTCACCACTTCCCTCCTGGTCTCCCCCAGGACCCCTGCCCACCCACGGCAGCCAAGGTGGTCCTCTCACATCCAAGGCCCAGCCTCTGCAGCTCTTCCATGTGCCCTGTGCCACTTCTCCCCTGACGAGGCCTCTGCCAGAGTTCTCTACACCCAGATGTCTGCACGGCCGCAGGCTTAGTCCGACGCCCCTCCTGCTCTCTCCTCCAGACACTCACTGGCTTCCACCCGACAGACAGGACGTGTTCATTCTATTCTGTGCATCCTCCAATATGGCAACTTGAAGCATGAATTCTCCCCTGAGATCTTTCAGCCTGAGAAATGCTGAGCGTAGTCTGCCTTTTGGTTTTCTAATTCCAGATCTTTCTTAGCACACTGCATTATAATACTTCTTTATTTTTCTCTAGTCAAAATCTTCGTTCGGCGATTTTACTTCATCAATTTGTCTGTTAGCTTTAGCTTCTCTATGTCTAAGAGCAAGTTTGCAAGTCTCTTCTGATGTCCATTTTGGTCTTTTCTTTCTTTCCAGTCTTTTTAGCAACCTACTTATTTCTTCATTCACAATGTTCCTGATGTCAGCACACATCCTATCTGGTCTTCTGTCCTTACTGTTCAATGTGTAAATCAAACGACATAACGCATTGGGCAATCTACTGTAAAAGTCCTCTATGAAGTGTTAAAAACCAAAGACATGACGTCAAGAACTAAGGTGTGCCTGACCTCATATGCATTGAAAACTGAACAATGATTAAGAAAAAGTGGAGAAGAATCGATGCACTTAAAGTACAGTGTTGATGAATATTAAATACACCATGTCACTTTCAGAAGAATGAGCAGATTGGTCTTGAATGAAGTACACCCACAATGCTACTGAGAAGCAGTCTGTCTCACGTACTTGAAACATATTATTAAGCGGGATCAGTCTCTGGAGAAGGACATCATGCTTGGTAAAGTAGAGGATCAGTAGAAAAAGAGGAGGCCCCTCAACAAGAGGGACTGCCGTGTGGCTGTATCAATGGGCTCAAACACAACACTTGTGAGGATGACCCAGGATGGACAGGGTTTTGTCCTGTTGTACACAGGGTCACCATGAGTTGGCACTAACTCAGTGGCATCCAACAATTCCATACAGAGGAAGGGAAAGTGCTTTAATAACCAGGCCAATGGACTAATGAACCACACAAACATCAGTCCCCCAAACTGTTAAATTTAGTAACTCCCACCTCTGAAGGTGTTTCCTGATGGGGTCTGGGTAAGAGGTGGCAGGAGGAGATACTGATAGGATGGCATTGTGAATGACTGTTAACAGTTCATCATGGCTGTGAAAACTTGGAACCCTAATGTGGGTATATAAAACGAGCCAACTCAGAAGCAGGAAGGAGAAATCTCACTACCGTCAAAGAGGAGGAGCCAGGAGTGGAGGGTGTCCTTAGAACCCCGAGACTCCTAGGCATTGAACTCCTGGACCCAGGGACAGAGAGCTGTGACCCGGGAGGAGGGGCAGAGGAGCAGCAAGCAAGAGCCCGAGCCCGAGCCGGGGACTCCCAGCCCCACGGAGCCAGTGAAGCTGAGAGACTCTGGGCAGAAGGCTTGTAGAGCAGGGCACCTCCAGGCACTGGAGTCGGGAGCTAGAGGCTTATGGTGGAGTGGTGTGTCCTGTGGGCACTGGTCAGCAGCTGACTGGACCCAGGTGCCCTGAGCATCTCTGTAAGCTGTTGACTTCCCAGATAAAGCACATAACTGTGAATGTGGTGTGGCCACTGCAATGTCGGGTATCAAAGTCCACAGAGAAGTAGACACAGCGCTGTGGGAGGACTGGTCAGGTGGAGACTGCTTGCAAGCCTCAGACCACGGCCCTTCATCACCACTGAGGTTTGCAAGTGAAGTCACCCCGAATGCTCCAATTTCAACCAAACATGAGACAGGTCTGTAGTACCAGCCGTGAGAGGCCAACAAGATAGCACTGACCCAAGGACAACGCTCAGAAGGGGGGGCAGGGAGGAAATCCAGGGAGGATGAGGGATGCCACACTACAGGCTGGCAGTCAGTGACCTGAAACACACTGGGTCTGACCCGCTGATTGGAAAACAGATTCATCAGTCACGATGTAAAGTTAAAAAAGGAGAGAATGTCAGCTCCTAGGGGCAAAGAGGGTTCTTGGCACACGGTGATCGCGGGACTGAGGCAACTGGCGGGACCCAGAATGATGCCCTGTGGGCCTCCAACTCCAGAGCGCCATGGGTGGGCACATTCGATCCGTTCTTCCTGTGGCTGTGTGCCCATCACCTCAGCACGGTCCCCTTCAACAGGTAAGTGATGCCTCCTGATGACGAGTTCCAAAGAGGTCAGCAGGACACCATTCGGGTTCGATCCAGGGGTTCCCCGGCTGATTTCCGAGGTACACCGGTAAGCCTTTCTTCCTAGTGTGTCTGAGTCTGTCCACCCTGGGAGAGCTTGCTCGTATCTGAGACACAGTGACGTGCAGGCCACCCGAGGACAGATGGACGGGTGGTGGCAATACAGACAGGAGTTCTGAAATAATTCATGTCTTTGAAAGAGAAGGCTCTAAAAACACTAACTCAGATCTTTGAACTTGAGTTTAAAACACAAAATAAAATGATGAAGAAAAATCATCTTTCTATATGTCCATTTAGTACACTAGTTCAAAGCCACCAGCCACTCACCAACCGTACGTTTTTTCCGGTTTAGGGATGGGGTCATCAAAGAAAGAGTCTCCCTCCCCGTCGTCTCCATCGGGACAGAGACCAGTTCTATCACTGTCATCAGCAGGCTTTGGGGTCAAGAGCGAGCCAATCTTGGCCTCCTGGGCCCGCAGGTGGCCACGGCTGCTCCTGCTGGTGGCTTCCGATACGGAGACACTTGTATCACTTTGGCTGGTCTCACTGGGTTTCTAGGAAAAGAACCGAGAAACCAGAAGGGGAGTGTTATCATGACTAAGAACCGAGCTGATCTGAGCACAGGGAACATCCAGCCGTCTCACAAGACACCCAGCGAGCACCCCTGGATCATCACTCTCATGTGGCTCCCTAACATGGACACTGACGCAAGGGGAGGCCAGGAGCTGACGCTCAGTCCTTTACTTCCCCAGATAGCAAGCGGCTTCCCAGTGCCTACTCCACGGAGCGACAGCACCTATGTCCTCTCATACAGGAGAGGACAATCCTACTAAAAAGGAGGGACATCACTTCAGATAAAAGTATCAATTTTCTATCCAGTGTCAAACATTCACACGCAGAAAATCTTCTGAGTAAAACAACGACCACAAATCAGATTCTCGGGGCAACACTCTCCCTCCCCCACTTCCCATGCTGAACCAAGTTACAAAATTCTCACGTGCGCTTCCTCCCTGGGTCCTCCCCACTGATGAGGTGATGTTAGTGGAAACATCGGGTGTGTTTTTTTGTTTGCAGGAAGGACTCATCTACACAACAGCCTAATTTTCCCTTTAGATAGGAGGATCCAGCCCATGGTGCCTGTACACTGTACACGGTTTCCTGAGCTTTCTTTACCTCTTCACCCAGAGCAGAAAGCCTCATCTTTCTCCTCTGGCGGGACTGACCCGTGGACCTTGCGGTTTGCAGTCAAGTGCTTATAGTATGAAGCCACCGCGCTAGATAACCTATGTCAGTAACAACACCACAACAAATGATGACAGACTAATAGCAGCTAGCTCCCATTTATCCAACGGGTTACCTCACAGACTCCTCAGAGTGACCCTACAGTAGTGGGTTTCTGTGGTTGTTAAGTCCTGTCGAGTAAGTTCCAACTCACAGCGACCTTGTATAGGGTTTCCAAGGAGCGGCTGTTGAACTTGAACCATGGACCTTGTGGTTCAAACTGATCTCACGGTGCAGTGTTGGTGTCGACCCCATACAGGGCTTCCAAGGAGCAGCTAGTGGGTGCCGAAGCCTGTACATCTTTATGCGAGTCGACGACAGCCTCACCTTTCTCCTGCTGAACAGATGATGGTTTTGAACCACCGACCTTTCACTTAGCAGCCGAGGGCTAACCTACTGCATGACCAGGGCCCCTTTAAGGATAGGCCAAGTCCACTGCCATCAAGTCAGTTCTGAGCCGTAATGACCCTCTAGGACAGAGAACTGCCCCCACAGGGCTTCCAAAACTACAACCTTTACAGACGCAGACTGACTGCCAGCTCTGTCGCCAACGTTTCGATCTGCAGCTGACCGCCCAGGCCACTGCAGCAGCACTAAATTCCCTTGGATGGCCTTCAAGACTGACCCTCCTTACAGTAAAGTCCAGTCCATTTCTGCATTCATGAAAGCCCACCATCTCGCAGTGAGAGTCCTTTTCCGGTAGTCCAACAGTGACTTAGCATGAAGATGTCCCAAAAAGCCTGAAAACAAGACCCTTTTACCAAACTAAAGGCTGCATCTGCATCCTTCCTAACAAGGGAAACTGCAAAGCCAGAGAAATCTTCACGTCTCATTGCAACTCTCCCTGCTCTGCCCTGCCAAAAAGTCAGTTTCCAGGTGAGTTATTAATGAATTGCTTGTAGAAGAAATTTGACAACTGTAATAGACACACATATATTTAGAATGCTTGCTTTAATCACCTACCAAGTAATACTACGAAATTCTACAACAACAGATTTTATGCCCTTTCCAAAAGCTCTGTTTCTCTAGAGAAAGTCTATAACTTACAGCTGAACAACAGAACCATGCGCTTCTGGCTTTGAAATCAGATGGGAAGACGCCCCTGGGCTGCCATTCGGCCCCATGACCAGCACCCTCCCTCTCAGTTAAGCAGAACTAGTTCATGCAACTGGGCTGTCTGGGAAGATTTCAAGTCTGGAATCGTAGGTGGCGACGATAGAGAGGCTCTGGACATGTTAATAGGAGGGACCAGTCCCCTAGAGAAGGACATTAGCTAGGTAAAGTGAAGGGTCAGCAAAAAAAAGAGGAAGAGCCCCCAGCATGGCAGCAATCGGCTGAAACGTCCAAACAGTTGTGAGTCCGGCTCAGGACCAGACAGTGTTTCAGGCTGTTGCACGAGGGGTTAGGACATGAGTCGGAAGCACCAAACACCCACCACCCACCAAGGCTCACAGCGCAGGCTAGACAACAGCAAAAGGTTACTTGGTGGGACTGTTCATTCATTCACAAAGCTGGGTGGGCTGATTTGGAAAGTTATGAGGAGACTGCTAAAGACGCAGACATAAACACCAGCCGCCTGCACCCCCCCACCCCACCCCAGACCCTAACACAGACTAAGTCAACGTAAAGTTGGTCTGACCCTCGAATTTTAGAAGCAAGGAATAATAAATTCAAAAGTGGGTTATTTTTAAATTTGAAACAAAGTACTTCAACCAGTACGTATTTGTTTTAAAACACTTGAAAATTATCAAAAGAAACATCTTCCATGTTATGCTTACAGTGGTAAGATATACTTTATTCTAGTTATGAGAAGAAAAAGTGCAAAACATCTACTTCCCTGCCCCATTTTCCTAATTGAGTGGGTAAGTCCTAAATCGGTAGGTGCAGCCAAGTCTGTCAGAGTTCGTTTGATGGTTATTTCTCCCTCTCCCCCTGACAATCAGGACATGTTTGGAAAAACAGAATACGATGAAATAAAGTAAATTCTTACACATGGTACTTTGGAAGTCAGAAAGTGTTAACACGCATTTCAAAATTGTTAACTAAGAATTGTCCTCTTCGTTCATGTGTACCCACTTGTAGTGCATTTCTTCTGTCTTTTCTATTGTGTCTCAACATCGACAATAAAAACAATTATAGTTTCTAGTTTTCAGCCATTTAAATAACTCACATTCTACTCTAATAGCACACACCTGTGTTTGTTTGCCAACCACTGCCCACCTCCCACCCTGGAGGCAGTTTTGTAAAGGGGCTATATATACTAAGTTTGACATTTTGTTTTTCTTTTTCAGCAATATGCACAAACATTTAGCACAGATGTGCAGGAGCGGGAAGTAAGAGGGTCAGAGGCTTTAGAACGAGAAAAGAAGCATCTTGGGTTCAGACACAGTAAGAAGAGCCAAGGGCCCAGCCACTGCCCCCCCACCCACCCCCGGCCCTGGGTCTGTGGGGTCCCTGCAGGGTGCTATGGGCACGAGTGCAGCCCAGTCAAGGTACAGAGCTGGTGAACGTGTGACTGGGAGCCAGGCGGTGTGGCTTTACACACAGCATAAAACCTGCCTCATCCCTGGCTTTCCAGACACGTGCAAACTTGTGCAAATTGCCTCGATGTGTTTCAAGCCATACCTCCACTTAAACTGCACAAAGTAACACTCCAAGAAACAAGGCCACTTTAATCTCAACATACAACACACACATTCAAAGCCCAGGGCGCTGTGAGTGCCTCTGAGCAGACCCTGCCACACGTGGCACCCACCGGGTCTGGCGTCTAGCTGCCCACAATAAGGAACACAGCAAGTCTCCCTCCAGCTGCGCTCCAGGCTGAAGGGTGGCAGGTGAGGGCAGGAGAAAACGACAGGAGTGTGCGGGGTAAGCATCACCAAACTAGAGCTGCTCGGACAGCAAACACAGCACTCTACGTGGTCAGTAAGCACTGGACGCAGGACGCTCACAGAACTGAAAGCCAGGCCACTCCGCCTTCCTCAGGATAGAGAGCTCCAGGCATCAGGAAGCACCACTGGGGAGGGAGCAAAGGCAGCAGAGGCGGCAGCGGGCTGGGAGGCCCTGAGCCGTGTCCACCACAGGCACGTGGAGGCCAGGGCTTAACCTGCAGCTTCTCCCAGGGGCCTCATCCAGTGTCCTCTGATACAGACACTCATGTTGAGAATACGATAGGGAAACAAAGCATTTACACTCAAAGTGCTTCTGGCCCCCAAAGCAGGAAATCCTCAACGTGAAAATGGCAGGACTACTAAAATACAACAGGGAGACTGCGAGCTAGACAAGAACCGAAAGTCCCGCTTTTGTTTGTGTAGCGGGGAGGCTGCACCCTGTAAGGGGACGGCCGGGCCATATATGGGGGGAAGCCAGGTCCTATAGTAAGAGGCCAGACCGTGTAGGGGGAAGCAGGGCTGTATAGGGAGGCGCAGGCCCGGCCCTGTAGGAGCGGCCCGCTGCTCTGTCCCTGGCAGGGCTCTGAGGTCACTTGGCAGCCTTGTACTCTCATGCATTTTACCTTTTCACCAGACTTCTCCCCGCTTCTCTTCTTTTTACCTTGTCCTTTATACCTTGGTATCTGAGCATGAGAATAAAATGACATTTTACCACAAAATAGAAATCTTAAAAAACTAAACCCATAACCAAATTATTAAAGTCTTACTAAAATTGTTCATAAAAATGGAAACTCTACTGTGTTCTTTGGGGCCATTTTTTGTCCCTGCTCAACTCTCTTCCCCCACGGGTCCGCCTCTCGTCTCCTTTGGTTCCCAGCAGTGGTCTAGTGGGACGTGGCCTCGGTATCCAGCATCACCTCAATCATCATGCTGAGGCCTGAGTGGCTTCACCCTCAGAAGCCCACAGGGGTTGGGGGAGCGGCCTCCTAAGAGCCCTCCTGCTCGCTGTTGGCTCTCAAGACCAAGAAGATCCGTCATTCTTAGAGGCCACAACGACTGCGAGGAAGAAGAAAGCTGACAAGAAAAGTCCTGGATTCCCAGCCTGAGGTCCTACAGGACCAGGGAAATGGCCTCTTCATGTCCAGCCCAAGGCCTTAACTGCAGAGAGGTCCCGCTGCCCCGTACCCCCACCACATGGTAGTGTATGGCATTTCTGAAATGCTTATGGGAGCCAGCCCCACTGCCTCATGGGGACTCTACATGACAAAGGGGAATTAAACCTCTAGGAAAGCAGGCTGCCTCCGCTGCCTCGTGGGGAGTGGCTGGTGGCTGGCCAGCGGCACCAAAATGGAGACGCAACTGAAATCGTCAGAGTGTGGTAGGAGAAATGAGGCACAGTGCGGAAGACAGAGGCTCATTTTAACCAACACCGACTTCAACACTGAGGACCTCATTCTAACCCCGGATCTCAGAGACAGCCATGTAGATGGGGAGGAGAATGTGTAAACCACACACCAACGTTGTATCATAAAGAAATGCTAAATGTAGAAAGCCAATATTGCTAATTTGCTTTAAAAATATGCTAAAGAGAGAGCTTTCAAAGTGTTCCAACTGCCACCAAATGCCCTCAACTGCTCACAAGGATTCTGAAATACGAGTTCATCCTAATCCCTCTAAACAACAATAAATCCACTACCACCAAGTCAAACCCAGTCTTTATGGGAGCAGACAGCCTCATCTATCTCCTGAAGATCAGCTAGCTGGTGGGTTTGAACTGCCGTCCTTGAAATTCACAGCCCAACACCTAACCCACAGCACCACTAGGAAGGATTCCAGTCACAAAACGCAAGCCTTTTTGTGCTTGTGTTAATGAAGGCTCTTCAATCTGGCAATAATATAAAGTTTTCTGTTCGATTTTTATTAACTGTACTTACAACCTTGTTCTGTTACCATGGCGACAGACATTCCTGTTGTTAAATGCCAGCGAGTCAGGCCTCACTTAGAGCAACTTTGTGTAGGGTTTCCCAGGTGTTAAATCTTCACAGCTGCTCTTAAAAACGGGGTTTCCTAAGCAGAAAAGGCTAGACAGGAACTCAGAAAAGACAAAGAGCAAGGGTCTCTCTCCTTGGCTGGAAAGAAAGTATGAAATCCCTTTGCAGTTCTAAATTAACAACCATTACAATGATTAACCTCCAAAATGAAGCAACCCCCAACTCCAGGATGATGGCTAACTCCTCCCGGTTCATCAGCTTTACCAAACTCTAACCGTCACATCAGAGGCTACGGACCCCCGGGAATTCATGGGACGCCTCCTCCTCTTTCTTTGGGAATGCTGTCTTATCACAGAATGACGGTGACACAGGTGTCATCACATCCCCGAGAAAGGCAGGCTGACGCTCCTCCCCGGCCCCAAACCCATCTTTACCCAGTCCTGCCATTAGCACACACATCCTGGATTTTAAATTCAAGGGTCAACGTCACATACCAAATCCCTGACATCAACTCAGAGAGGACTGCGAAAAGAAACTGTCACCAGAGGACACAGATTTTCTTATAAACCCCTCTAAATAGGTAATATAGTCAAAATAACTAATGTAAATGCCATCGTGATTTACAATCCCAAACTTGGTTACGTGTTGAAAACACAACCGTCAAAACGATTTTCCATTCTGCAGTATAACATTCTCAAGCTAAAGGTTTATCTGTAACCTCCTTGCAAACAAAAGGAAAAAGCATGTCATGTACCAAATGAGCCAGATAATCCCACAAACCTGTTGTGTACCACAGCACTCATTTTGATGATATCAAATTCAAAAAACTATCAAGAAACAGAAGTCCATTTTTAAGACAGGAGACGCCGAGAAGCACAACCCCCACGCCCAGTAGGTAGCCAGCAGGCCTCGCCCCGAGAGCAGGCGGAGCAGTCTCCAGACCACTTACCTTGCTTGGAACAGTGTGGGAGCTTGTTTTCCCTTCCGGCGATTTTGGAGGAGAATGTACATCAGACAGATCAAGTGCACCCTAAAAAAGTTCACAATCTAACATTAAAACATTAAATATCTAAATCGTGCTACAAGAGGATTTTACCACTTCAACACTATACAATATTGGATTTTTTTGTGTTCCTAATTAATGTCAATATGCTTCTTATATTTTCCCTCTTACCAAAAAGCATCACTATCACCAATGAAACAAAACCCAGAAACTCGGGTTCCAATAAGAGGAGACCACCCAGCCAGTGATCCTATACGCCCCGTCTACAGCGACTCAGAGCCCTGGGGTGGCACCGTGGGTTGCTTAGTGTGCTAGACTACAAAGCTGTCTGAACTGCAAGGTCGGCGGTTCAAGTTCACCAGCCGCTCCTTAGAAACCCGATACTGGACAGCACTTACCACCGTGATTCAGAGTCCTGGTACAGCACAGCAGGTAAATGCTGGACTGCAAGACTGCTTTCTACAACAAGGTCAGTGCTGCAAGCTCACCAGCCGCTCCTTGGAAGTCTTATACAGGCTCGCTATGAGTCGGAACCAACTCAACGGCACTTAACAGCAACAACCCGCTTTCAATCCCGGTCCCCCTTGTTCCGTGCTCTGCAAAGCCCATTACCCAAGGGTCCTTAGAGAGCTATTCCTTGTACCCACCTGAGATTTCCACCCCCTTCACTGGACCTGAGGAAAAGATGTCTACTCAGAAAGCCCCTCATACACAGCGATTCATCCCTCTGCGAGTCTCGCTTCTCCAACAGGGTCTTGGAGCTGTCGTGCCCACCAGCTCAGCAGAGCCTTCACAGCAAGAACCCTGGGAGTCTCAACAAAGTTTTTAAGACAACCCCTTGAATTGAAATCAATTCCTAAAACGAATCCGCTGCAAGCATATTAAACATGAGCTAGTTTGTCACAAAAAAGCCTTCCAACCACCTTTAACCTGAAGAACGCATGCTCTCTTCCATCGGGAGGCCCAGGTTTGGGACTGGCAGCATCATGTCCAGAAGGAAACGTGCTGGACAGTGTAGGACCCACAGTGATCTGTTCCATCATGCCCAGGGTTGCCATGAGTCGGAACCGTACCTAACCACAACCCACCGTGAGGCTGTAATACTCGTTCGTCAAGCTGATTCCTCCTGGAAAATGTCGGCTTCATTTCCTCAGAGAGAGATGCATGAGGTCAGGGCACGCCCTGGCGACTTCTCGATAGAAGGAGAGCCCATTTGTAAGAAAGCCAACTTTTGGTTTTACTTCATTTCCTCCTAGAAAATGTCCACTGGAGCCCCCGGTGATGCCAATGTTTAAGTGCTTGGCTACTAACCAAAAGGTTGGTAGTTCAAATTTACCTAGAAACATCTCAGAAGAAAGGCCTAGCAAACTAGTGTTCAAAGGTCAGGGTCCCTGGAAACCTTAGGAAGCACACTTTACTACGACCCATGTGGTCTCCTTAAGTCCGAGTCCACTTGCTGGTAACTAGTCTGGTGTTTGGTTTGATACCTACCTGCCTAGGTTTTTCTATCCTCCCTGCCAAGTGTTCCAGTTTCTCAAAACTTCCAAAGTCTCCATAGTTCATCAAGCTAACCCCCACAGAGGGTTCTTCCAAATGGGTTTCCCTTCTCTGGAGAAATCACCAGGACGTCCCTGACCTCATGCATATCTCTCTGAGGAAATCCCCACGGGAGAGACATCACAAGGGGTACCCAGATCTAGACAGAGCCTTTGTCCTCAGTGCACATGCGGAACCAGTGAGAAAGGAGGAAAGAGAAAACATCACAGAACGCCACCACTGAGGAAAGAAGCCAATGACAAAATCTCACTGGCTAAGGGGGAAGCTATACCTTTTCAGGTGGAGACTAGTAAGGAAAAAAAAAAGGCAAGGAAGCCGAAGCCAAAGGAAGAAATTCCCTGAGGACTAAGTCCAAGGCTCCACGGGAGAAACATGGCAGTAGGGCCAGAAGGGCCTCCGGTGTCCACTGTGGGAGAAGAGAAGTCGGACAGCAGATGCCCTAAGCCGCTCAGGAACGGAATAGAAAGGACCGAGGGGTCATTTGGGGACTGTGTGCTGTTGCAGACCACCGCGGAGCTCAAAAAACAGCTGTCCTGGGCCAGGGACATCCACAACTGTCCATCCAGTGTCTTAAAGGGCAGTCGGGTGTGGGCATCCATAACTGAGCTACTTTCCTTCAACAAAAAACAAAGTTAAAGGAAGACGAAAGAAACAAGCATCTCCCTTTCTGTGTGTCATTATTGGTGACCAATCCTGTCCACATAGGAGAGTAAAGCAACAGTAAACTGTGAAGGAGCAAGCAGAAACCTGGCACGCCTTCTTCCTTCCCCTGGGGCAGGGCGCAGAGACCATCAGGAGAGAGAGGACTGAGCCCTGATGTCAGTGTGGGGTCAGGGCTGCCAGCCAGCAGTGGGCCGGTGCCTGGTCTGGAACTAGCAGTCACAGAAGACCCCCGACACTGACAGACATGTGGGCAGGAGAGCAGGCTGGGGGCCGGGGGCCGGGAGCTGGTTTCATCTTGTGTTGTTTTGCTTCAGAAGAGATGAGACTTAGGCCAGTCTAACTGCTTTTCTGCCCACACGAGTTAAACACCCTCGTGGAAAACCACGGCACACGAGATACCATGTCCCAGGAACACTGTGCTAGACCAGCCCCTGGAGGACATCAGCCTTGTAAGGAGAAGGGTCAGTGGAAAAGATGAAGATCCCCAGGGAGATGAGACACACACCGACTCTGTCATCAATCCTCAGCGCGGAAGAACGGCCCCCAAATCGGTGCCAATCCTAGATGAGGAGCGGGGCTTCACGCAGCCTGGCTCCATCGGTGAGGAAGGGATGAAAGGTGAAAAGGTGGGACCAGCAGCCAGCACGGGACTTGTCTCCACCTCCAGCAGGCCCAGGACAAAGAAGGAACCAAGGGGTCTGGGGTGGCTCTATGAATTTACAGTTCCCATCCCTAGCTCCCTAGTGCCCGTCACACAGGAAAAACGTGTCAAATAGTCGATGAGGGGACTCAGACTCTGCCAGGCCAGATTCTCACTGCCCAAGGCCCGGCCTTCCTGGCCTGCCCTTCACAATCCCATCCCCACACAGACACCTTGTCCATCAAGGACCCCGGTGTGTCCTCCAGAGAGGAGACGGACCCCGTGTCTCTAAAGAAGTCACATGTCCCTGTTGACCAGTTAAGTGGTGGCGCTACTGTCTTGTCCCCACAAACCCGGCTCCTGAAGCTATACTGAGAACATCAACACACAGTGCAACCCAGTCGCGTTCGTCACCTTCCCTGGCCACCACCCCCTCCAGCATCCACCTGGAGAGCCAGCGTCCACTGCCTCTTGTTTTCTAGCTACACAACCAAACCCACACCCACGGCCATCGAGCCGATTCCCACTCATCGTGGAGGACAGAGGGGAGCTGTCCCTTCGGGATTCCGAGGCTGTAACCCCTCCGTAAGCAGACATCCTCGGAGGAACTGGGGGGACTGAGCTAGCATGTCACCCCTGCAGCACCAAGACTCCTGTTTCACTGAAACCTGGCGCTCGCCGGCACCACCAAACGCTGGCGACACTCACCTCCCTGCTGGCCGGGGTTTTCTTCCTCTGTTGGCAACATCGAATCACCTCCAGTAGCAGGGGTCCGCCCACAGTGCCTTCTGCTTCAATGATGCCCAAGTCACGAGCTAAATTCTCCCGACCTTCAAGGCCTTGAAACTAGAGCAGAAATACAGGGAGCTCCACACATGCAGCAAAGGGTCTCTGAGGGTACACAAAACCCTGTGGGGACGTAATGACACGTCTGACTTCAAAGAGCGCACCTTCCCGATGAACGGGAGAGTCAGCCGTGGAGACAGTCTGCACACTACAGCCCACCTGGGGGTAGGGCTGAGATGGACTGTTGTTGGCTGACCGTCCATTTCTGAGTTGACACAGTAACAGCCCTGCTTGACCAGCTGCTCACCACTCGGACAGTCCGTCTACAGTGGGCTAGCCCTGGAGGAGACAGGCATGGTCAGGCTGGCTCATGGCCCCTTGCTCCTAAGTGCATGGGGTTGTCCGAGCTCCCCTTCCACCCCAGCACCCTGATCCCGGAGCCTGCCCTGTCCACCCTGTCCCTTTCCAGGAGGGCGCTGGCAGCCTGGTCTGTGCTCATGTGGGGAGGTCTTCCAAACACCCTCCCACAGGAGTTGGGCACCCACACTGGCCCGCTAGCTCAGGGCCACCCAGAGGCTATGGATACGTGCTTGGTGGGCATGGGGCAGGGCGGTGGCACGGCTACCCAGAGGTCAAGGGAAGGAGATTCACTGCTGCCCGCCCGCCACCTTGTTTATGCACAAGGCAGGCAGACAGCAGATCTCTGCCGTCACCAATGAATGAGGAGAGCCCGGGTGTTCAGTTTCCATGAACAGCTGCAGGCTGCCCTCCAAAGAAAATCAAGGCCCCAACGAAGCGCTCCTGTGGTAGCGACTCTCCAAACCCAGGAAGGAGGCCTGCTGGCGCTGGAGAAAAGCAACCAACTCAGAACCACCTTCTAACTAACCGACTTGTACCAAAGAAGCCTTCACACGGGAGAGGTAAAGGCGCTGACTCTTACTGTGCTGGTTTCAGGTTGGAAAACAGCCAAGGTAAAGTCAAGGTGGAAAAACTGAAGAAACTCTGCAACCAGACTCGCCACTAAACGACCTGCAAAGACCCAGAGGGAGACTGAGGGTGAGCACGGTGAGTGAGGAACTTGGAAAAAAACTAGGTTAATGACAGAGAAGCAAAGGTTTGTTCATTGTGATGTCATTTCTGAATGACATGGTAAATAATGGTCATGCTAATTCCCAATTTCTTCATGAAGACATCACTCTGCAGGCATCTATCTGTGAGACAACGTCAGTAACCCTTCCTCAGTGGCAAGGGTCCTGTTTTACATAGTAAAAAACACCAACAACATCAAAGAACTACCGGAAAGTCACAATGTCAACCAAACGGCATCAAGATTGAAAATTTCACGGACAGATAACAAAACAAACAAGCAAAATCCCTTACCGTCTTTCGTATTTAAGAACCTCTTCAGACTCTCATTGACTAAGGGAGTTTTGTTCTGTGAAAAGACGAAATGGTTTAAGTGTCATACATTTTATCCCAGAACAGTTACAAAATGCGGGGGGGTTAAGTTCATTTTATGACAGAAGATACAAGTAATGCTTGTCATTCATTGTTATGGTTAGACGTTCTACAACTGCTGGCCACTATAGAAATTATTTCATACTACTTAATCATTTTCAAAGTTAATAGAGCAAAACCATGCACGAATATTTTTTAATTTTTAAGTGTTTTATATATTATTTACTTTAGAAGTTAATTTCCAGATACGCATTTGCATGGCATTGAATGTATTTAAAGCTTCATTATTTCAAGCTTATGGCATTCAATAACCACCTTTCATCTAATCACAGACTACTATAGAGAGCATGTCACTATTGCTGTTAAATACTGTTGAGTTGGTTCCAATTCGTAGCAGCCCTGTATAGGGTTCCAAGGAGCGGTTGGTGAGTTTGAACTGCCGGCCTTGCAATTCAAACCGACTCTGCAGGCGAGTGCTTATCCTACAGTGTCCCACCATTATTACGTGCCTTCAAGTCGGATCCGATTCACTGAGACCCCATGCCCAAAAGCACACCAAGCACTGCCCGGTCCTGTGCCCGCCTCAGACTTGTTGTATGTCTGCTTCCACTGTTGTAGCCACGGTGTCAACTCATCTCCCTGAGGGTCTTCCTTTTGACTGCCCCTCGACTTTCTCAAGCATGATGTCCTTCTCCAGGGTCTGCTCTCCCAGACAATGTATGCAAAGTACAGGACATGTGACTTCTAATGAGTTTTCTCAGAAGACAGAGCCGTTGGTTCTCCTGGCAGGCCCTATTCGTTGCCAACACCATGATGCAAATGCATGAGGTCATTTCCAGTCTTTCTTATTTGTTCTTCAGCTGCCGCAGGCATATTGAAGCGACAGAAAATACCATGACTTGGGTCAGGCACTTACTATAAAAGAGATTTTAATTCTACGTTTACGTTGCCTACTCTATCGGTGATATGGAAGATAATTTCATGTGGCATCTCGGAGTCCAGGGGTGGTGCTGTAGGATAAGCACCACACTGTCAATCACAAGCTCTGTGGTTCCAACCCACCAGCTGCTCCTTGGGAACCCTGTATGGGGTCACTGTGAGGTGGAACTGACTCGACAGAACTTATCAACAACAGGTCAACTTGGCTATTTCTGGAATGAGGGTAAGAAATGTGGTTCTTGCTGAGACTGAGGTGGAAGGTGGTAGAACAGGTGAGCCTCCTTGAGCAGAGTCCAGAACTCTTGGCACAGAGTCCAGGCCTGGCCATGACTGTTTCCAACCTACACCCTCAGAGCACGTGATCACTCACGTGGAGACCACATCCGGAGCCTCAGGAGTCAGAAACACGGGAGCCCAAGGCGGATGCTGCTGCAGTGACCTGGCTAGCTGTACTAGCAAGTCCAAGTCAGAGGACTTTCTCTTCATAGGCAGTGGAATCCACGTGAAAACTCCCACAAAAACAGCCTGCTCTTGATTACTTTGGGGGAGAACTGGTATCTTCCCAATTCTCAGTCTCCTGACACATGGACAATGGAAACCATTCAGAGACCCCAGACGACACCGCACAGCTGCACCCCAGGGTTTCCGAGACTACAGATCCATACGGAAGCAGACCACGACATCTACCTACCCCAGCGCCACCGAGCTGATGGTTTGCAGCCAGCTGCTTCAGTACTGGCACACTAGAGAGCCTGAACAAGGGTTCTCACTCCATCTGTCACAGCGCTCCTGAAGGTCCCTCAGCAACACTTTCTAGTTTGCAGGTAAACATACTACATGTCTTTTGTCAATTTACTACTGAGTACAATAATCCACCACTTGTCTCTCAGTTTGTCATCCTGAGTATTCCAGAACATCTAACTGTGCTCATGAGGTGCCTGTTTCAAAGACCAAGAGGAGTTCCAACAGAACAAAGGAATACCAAATGGTTTAAAATTAGGAAAGGTGTGCTCCAGGGTTGTACTATTTCACCATACTTATTCAATCTGGATGTTGCGCAAATAATCCGCGAAACTGGACTATATGAAGAAAAACATGGCATCAGGATTGGAAGAAGATTCATAAATAACCCATGATATGCAGATGATACAACTTGTTATGGTACCAACTCATATAGAGACCTTATGCACAGCAGAACGAAACACTGCTCAATCCTGGGCCAACTTCACTACCGTTGCCACACTTGAGTCCATCGATGCTGCAACTTGGCCAATCCATCTCGTTGGGGGTCTTCTTCCTTTTTCTCTGACCCTCCACCTTACAAAACATGATATCCTTCTCCAGCGACTGGTCCCTCCTGATATGTCTGAAGTACGAAAGACGAAGTTTGGCCATCCTGGCCTCCAAGGAGCACTCTGGCTACACTTCTTCCAACACAGATCTGTTGGTTCTTTTGGCAGCCCATGGCACTTTCAATATTCTCCTCCAACACCGTAACTCAAAAGCATCAAGTCTTCTATGATCTTCCTTATTCACTGTCGAGTTTTCGCATGCATATGAGGTTACTGAAAATACCGTGGCTTGGGTCAGGCACACCTTAGCTTGCTGAAAAGTGAAAAGTAATTAAAATACTTACTGATGAAGATCAAAGAGCACAGCCTTTGGTATGGGTTACACCTCAGTGTAAAGAAAAAAAAAGCCCTCACCACTGGACCAGTAAATAACATCAAAATAAATGGAGAAAAGGCTGAAATTGTCAGACTTCAGTTTGCTCAGATCAACATCAACAGTCATGGAAGCAGCAGTCAAGAAATCAAAGAAGGCATTCCATTAGGCAAATCTGCTGTACAAGACGTTTTTAAAGTGTGTAAAGGTAAAGACATCAGCTTGAGGAGTAAGGTGCACCTGACCCAAGCCATGGTATTTTCAATAATCACTTATGCATGTGAAATTTGGACAGCGAATAAGGAAGATAATAAAAAAAATTAATGCATTTGAGTTACAGTGTTAGAGGAGAATATGGCAAGTACTAGTACCATCAAAAGAACAAACAGAAGGGCAGACTTTGTCTCTCATACTTAGGATAGAGTATCAGGAGGGACCAGCCCCTGGAGAAGGACATCATGCTTGGTAAAGTGGAGGGTCAGCGAGAAAGAGGAAGGAAGACCTCAACAAGATGGACTGGCACAGTGGCAGCAGCAATGGGCTCAAGTGTGGCAGTGATTGTGAGGTTGACACAGGACTAGGCAGTGTTTCATTGTGTTGTGTCTAAGGTTGCTGTGAGTAACTACTGACTTGTCGGCATCTAACAACAATGATGTTAATGAAGCCAAATACAATCTGCATGATTAGGCTGTATCTCGAGTCCATCCCTTCTGAGATGTAAGAGATCGAACAGGCAAGCAGAGCTCAGAGGGACCTACTACATCACGAAAGAACAGCTACGAGCGCAGTGCTTCCTTTGGACCTGGGACCTCTGCCCTATGAAGCTCCAAGATCCAGAGGAAGACTGACGGATGCCAAGACTCCTGAAGGTTTCCCAGGAACGCTGGGCCTAGAGATGTTGAACGGAGACAGTACCTTCCCTACAGCTGGTGTTCTGACTGTGGACTTCTAGCCTCTTCAACTGTGAGAGAATCCATTTCTGGTTGTTATCGCGCCCCCATCCCCATCCAGGTGTGGTGTTTCTGGAGCAGCAGCACCAGAGAACTAAGACACTGCCCATCAACAGGGGTCTGGTCAGGCAAACTGTGCTGTATTCACCCAGGGAAATTCTTGTCAATAAAGTGGTATGAAACATTAATGCACATTTCAGCAGGGATGAGTCACTAAGGCTTTTTGAAGAGCAAAAGAAACCAGACTGAACAATACGAAGTCCACGCTGTAGGATTTCAGTGGTAGAGCTCTAGCAGTCCCTGGGATGTCTGGGGCCACAGTCAGATAACTGTCTCACAGCGACACACATCCAGCTTACTGTATGTAGATCAACAATCCGTCAACTCAGTTGCTTTAGAGACAAAAGTTGAGGTGAAAGACCACTCTGGTCTAGGAAGCTTTCAGACACCGAATCTGCTGACATACTTCAAGATAACAGAGTGGCAAGCTCAGATGGGTTCTATAAATAGCCTGCCTGGGCTTACTGTTCAGAGTGGATTTCAGAACTCACTGCAACTCCTGTTACTGTGGTTAAGAGCCGTCCACTCGGTTCAGACTCATAGCAACCCCGGATAGGATTTCTGAGGCTGCAAATCTTTGCGGGAGCAGAAAGCCTCATCCTTCTCCTGCCGAGCAGCTGGTGGTTCAGTTCAGCGCTTATTCTACAGTGACACTGAGCTCCCTCAATAAGTATGAGCGTACTAAAAGTTCCGAAGACTCCTACAGCAAAGCAATTCATCGCCAGAGGAGTTACTTCTTTGGAGCATCCAGTGAGCATGTGTTTCAGAGTTCCTCGACAAAAAGGAGCATCCCACTTGAGACTTACCACAGCCCCACTTACTGCTGCATAGCTTGATTTTGTTAGGATTACTGTCGAGTTCTACTGTTGTTAAGCACCATCAAGTCAGTTCTGATTTATAGCGGCCCTGTACAGGGTTTCCAGGGAGCAGCTGGTTGGGTTCAAACCGCCAACCTTGAGGTTCAAACTGACCTTGTAGTTCAGTGCTTATCTGACAGCACCACACCAGAATTCCCAAGTTCTAACATACACACACAAAAAGAACAATTTTGGCTCTCTCCCCAAAATTTAAAAAAATTAATTTTGAAGCCCCACCTGTGTGTCAGTGTGTCTGTCATACTGTGGTGGCATTCGTGTTGCTGTGAGCCTGAACCAGCAGTATTAGACACACCAGCAGGGTTGCCCCTTATGGGCAGGTTTCAGTGGAGCTTCCAGACTAAGACAGCCAGGAAGAAAGGCCTGGATATCAGTCCCTCTCAGCCCTGAGGACCACAGAACATGCCAAGGATCCTGAAGATGATGACAGGTCCAGGCAGCCTGTCATCATCACACAGGGCAGCCATGAGTCAGCGCCACGTCAACAGCAGTGCAAGTTCACAACTGCCCACGTCCACACACGTCCACACACTGACCAGCAGCTCTGAGAACCCGAGAATACAACCACCAGTGCGTACCTCGACTTTCTCTTGCTCCTCTAGTGCCAGGAACACAGCTGCTCGGAGTTCAGCCTGTAAAACAAAAACGGTAAGAGAACAATTATTTCAAGATGACTTAAGACAAGAACCACCCAGAATCGATGAAACTATCAATTGTCTTCGGCTGTGTTTTCCCACTCCCGATACATGTTGTGTGTGTCTCCTCAGGTACTGAAGAGATGCCCAATGGAGGTGGCACCATAGGCATGGTCCCAACCGCCACCCACACGACAGGGATGTGCACGGAGAGTGCAGCTGAGCATGGGGCGGCGCTCCATGTCTGCACAGGTCATTCTCAGCCTCTCGGTAATCGGTACAAAAGGAATCCCGGTACAGTAGTGGATTACGAGCTGGGCTGCTAACTGCAAGTCTAGCAGTTCAAATCCACCAGCGGCTCCACAGGAGAAAGGTGAGGTTTTCTGCGTCCATAAAGACTGACAGACTCAGAAACCCTATCCAGGGTCACTGAGTCAGAACTGACTGGAAGACAGTGTTTAAAGGTGTCCTGGAGCTGGTGGCACAGTGGTTAAGCACTCAGATGCTAAACTAAAGGTCAGCAATCTGAATCCACCAGCCCCTTCCCTTGAGGAAGATGTGTCAGTCCGCTTCCATAAAGTGGTAGCCTCGGAAAGCCTATAGGAAGGGCAGATCTAGTCTACAAGGTCGCTGTGAGTGGGAACTGCAACAGAAAATCAGTGTTCTGGCTGCACACGCTGCTTTCCCCTCAAGTAACGAGACAGTGTCCAACTGGGCCCCTGGGTTGTGCAAATCATTCATGCATGGGTCTAGTAACGAGCAGGCTGGAGGTACCTGGAAACCGCAGCCACTGAAAACTCTACGAAGACGGTTGTACTTAGAAAATACACGGGGCCACCGTGGGCTGGAGCCCACTCAGGGTAACTGTTTCGTTTAAATACCCAACAACTCAGAACTTACACATAAGGAACTGGCCCCAAAGGCTTTATTAACCCAGCATGAGGGCCACTCAATGACAGGCCCTCCACAAGCAGCAAGCCCGGAGTGGACTCATGATGGCCCTGGCTGTACACAGTAGGAAGGCTCCCCTGGGTTTTCGAGGCTGTCTGTCACCTGTAAGGTGCTCAACACACCAGGCCTGTTTTCTGAGGCGCCTCTAAGGGCCACCTCTCCACCTTTCAGCCAGTCATCCCACGTTTAAGCTCCTAGTGACCCTGGAACTATGTGGACCACCTACAGTGGCTGTGGCAAATGCCTATTAGCTAACTTGCTCAAACCCACTCAGGCCACTAGAGACTGGACCTTCGTCCAGATGAATGTCCAGCGAGGCTGCTGTGACATGGACTCCCACGAGCAGCCTCTGGACGCGACCTCAGATTCCTCAGTCTCGTGTGCTGCACCCGACACGCAGAGTCAGCACTGAGGAAAGAAAAGACCACAACGGACTTCAGAGAAACTCTGAAACTTGCTCTGGAGCATAGCGAAGCAAAAGCAACAGGAAGAAGTGACAAGGTTAAACAGCGAAACAAATTTCAAAGGACAGCTCCAAAAGACAAAGTCAAGTATTCCAATCAACTGTGCAAAGGCCTAAATTAGAAAATAAAAAGGATGGAAAAAAGTCAGGCCTCACGCTGCAACACTGAAGGATTCTATGGACAATATATCAAATGACACACAGGACGCATTAAAAAAAATGTCACTGTACCAAAAACAACTGGTCAACATTCAACCTTTTCCAGAGGTAGCAAGCATACAATCGAGTGGTGGAGCTGAAGGAAGAAGTTCAAGGTACACTGCAGGCATCAAGAAATACAAGGCTCCAGGAATAGATGGAATTCCAAACTGAAAGCTTTGAACCCAATGATACAGCACTGGAGGCACTCACTCATCTATGGCAAGAAATCTGGAAGACAGCAACACGGCCAGCTGACTGGAAGAGATCGGTATTTATGCCCATTCCGAAGAAAGGTAGCCCAATGATATGCAAAAACTATCAAACAATGTTGTTACGACCACAAGCAAGGAAAATTTTGCTGAAGACAATTCAGAGAGAATTACAGCAGTACACTGGCGGAGAGCTTCCAGAGGTTCAAGCCAGATTCAGAAGAGGATGTGAAATAAGGGACATCGTTTTGTTGACATCAGACGGATCTTTGTTGAAAGCAGAGAATACCAAAGAAGATATTTGTGTTTTACTGACTACACAAAGGCATTTGACTAGGTGGATCTTATCAATCTTGGAACAACAACATTGTGAAGATTCGGTATTCCAGAACACTTCATTGTGATCATGAGGAATCTGTACATAGAACAAAAAGCAATCGTTAGAACAGAACAGGGGGGATCCTGAATGGTTTAAAGGTGTGTGCGGATGTATACTTTCAGCATACTTATTCAATCTGTATGCTGAGCAAACAATCTGAGATGCTGGTTTTATGAAGAACATGGCATCGGGATATATTGTGGCACCTTGAATTTACCTGACATGGCTTTTCTATCCAAAGTCTTCCTAATGCTCACCAAGTGACTGGGTGGGACCATGCAAATAAGGCATGCAGGACTCTGAGGGCTGGATTGGTTCAGATTGACTTGAAGAATGTGCCCTCTGGGCATTCACAGTGACAGAAAGAAAACTGTGACACTTGCCACAGCAGAGCAAAGGCCAAGGAGCCACATGGCTGAGAGGCCAGAGTGAGGCATGCCTGCAGTCTGGCAGACAAGAGGCGCTCCTGACTGGAGAACTACTGTGTCCTGAGTTGGTTTTGATCCTGAATTGTACCCTGTTCACACCCCTAAATAAGCCCCGTCATCAGGAGTACTGTTAGGAGCTGTGTGTGGCCACACCATGCATGATGGGACATGTGCAGGAGATAGTGCTGTGGGGCGATGGCAGTGTCGGAACAGGGTGGCAGGCTGGAGCTCCTGCGACCTCCCCGTCCCAGGAATCGGCCTGAGGCTGATGATGAGTTTGATGCTTTTCCCTGTTGTACAGCCAGGGGACATCAGACAAGGTGTTAGCAGATATGCAGACGATACAACCTTGATCGCTGCAAGTGAAGAGGACTTAAATCATTTAC